CCTACTCGGGTTTGTCCTTTGAAACTTGGCAAGGATCAAGAGATTTTTTTTTTTTTTTTTTCCTCCTCCTCCTTATGTTACCCAACTGGAGCTCGAAATTAATAATATGGCTTTTAAAATTTTTAGTCCTTGGTTTGTTTTCTAGCAAACCTGAAGATTGTTACCAATACTGAGGAGCTGGGGAGGGGGATGGAGCCAGTGGGGGTGAGGGTTTGTGGGGAAATCAAACGAGTGAGCTATAAATTTCTTGCTGGTTTAATTTCCCTGCAAACTGGCATTTTCTGAGGAAAGGGCAGAGCCTGAAGGAAGGCCTGGAAGTTGGGATTAGGAACCAGGACTTGGTGCCTCCATCCCCAGACACCTGTGCTGTTTCTCAGCGCTGTTATTTCAAAGGGGTGCAGAGCAGGTGCTGATGCAAACACACAAGCAAACCCCTGTGTGTTGAGCTGAGCTGAGAACGGGCAGCTCAGCACACGCTGCCATCCTTCCCCTCCCAATCCAAGGGCTTCCCAGCCCCTCCAGAGCCTGAGGACACACTGGCCACCCTGTGCCACGAGCAGCGCTGGCATCAAGCAGGTGCGAGAACCCACGTGGCACAGGGCTGGGGGGTTTGGTTTGGGGCTCTGGCTCACCCTCGGGGTTCTGCAGGACTCCTCGTGGGACACCAGCCCTCCCAGCACACCCAGTAACACAACTTTCCCCTCTGATCACTCCAAGATTACACCGACTTGTCGGCAGCTGCCCCGCTGCAGGTGGGCTCTCCCCCGGCCCAGGCTGGCCCAGGAGCAGAAGGTAGGAGCCACTCGGTGGCTGAGCTGGGTCCTGCCAGTGAGAACCAGCTCCTGGTGCTCCAAGAACGCTTTAGTTTCCAGCTCTGAACCTCTGCTTTCCATGCCTCTCTCCTCCTCCACCTGGGAAAAAGCTCGGGGTTTGTCTGTGCCCTGCACGCAGCTGGGACTCTGGTGAGGCTGCATTGAGCCTCGGGGTTTAGTTGTGTACATGAAAGATGAGGATGGTAAGTGGTAGAAGGGATTGTTCACAGCTTGCTGCTGGGGTGAACGGAGAGGATCATGGAAATCCTGTCATCTCCCGAGACCGGAGTCTGTTTGTAGAGCAGAATCACTCTGTAAATGGATAAGCCTGTGTTGTCTAGAGCATAGATGCCTTCTTGTTCTCCTGAGTGACTGCCTAAGGTGAGCTGCTCCTGGTGGGAACCTTGGGAGGTTTCACGCTGGCTGTCGAGGCTGAAGCTTCTCCTCCTCAGGGTTCCCACCAGCACACACTTCAGCAGCTCCCGCTGGTGCTCAGTTCCCATTTCCCACCCAAGATCCTGTAGCTGCTCCTGCTGTAGACACTGGCATCACTTCCAGTGCAGAACACGGCACCCTGGGCCTGTCTCTGGCCTCACAGAGAGACAAAGCTCCTTTCGGTGCAGTAACAAGGGATGGGGCCACACCACAGCCATCGGGGCTGGGTGGTGCTGACAGTCTGTGCTGAACCAGGAGGGCTGTGCTGAGTCCTGACAGTGGTCTGCAGATTTGGCTTCTCTCCGTGCTTGGGCAATGTAAAGACCACATGCCAACACTCAGCCACCCAGCAGCTCCCACAGCCTCCCCTTAGGAACACTTTCCCTGTCTCTCTTCCCGTTTAGAAATGCTAATTTTCAGGAGACTTCATCTCTCCTTCCTGCTTCAGCACATCCTCAACCAGATACAGCTCTACCCACCCACCCTAGAGACCTGCCTAGAGCTTCCAGTGTCCCTTTGCCACCTTTGTAAGCAAACAAGGGGGGATCTGTGTTAAATCTGATGTTCTCTCTGATGCCACCTGTGATGACCCACCAAACACAGCAGCACTTGGACGCAAGCTGAAGCCCCCAGACCCTCCCAAGAACATGCGAGGTAAGGCTGTGCCCATCCCCAGGGTCAGGACAGGATGGGTTTCTCCCTCAGTGCCATAGGCCAGGACAACCCACCTGTCCTCAGCATGACCGTCAAATAATCTAGTCTCCCTCTTGGAGGGTCCATCTCAGCTCAGTTCTGCTCCTCCAGCCCCATGGAGGTCTTTTTGGAGACATGTTTGGGGCTGGGAGAGCCCATGGGCTGCTTTGGGAAGGGGTTTTATGCCATGGCCAAAGTCAATTGGGCTGATGGGCTGCTCTGGCCCATCAGGGCCAAGCCTTGTTAGCAGATCACCCTGTTCCCAACAGCCCATGGAGCCTCCTCAGAGCCATGGCCCCCTTCTCACTGAGGGCTGTTGCTGTCAGGACGTGACTGACACAGGTGGTTGTAGCTGGCAGTGCCCACCCAGCGCCTCCCTGAGCCCCACAGCGCTTGCAAGGGCTCATGTTCCACAAATAAACAGCGAGACCCGTTCCCAAACACCCTGTGGGACCTCAGTGCTGCTCCACCTTGCCCCTCACTGGGGTCACCAAAGCGCAAAAACCCCCCAAGCACCAACCAAACCCCATCAGCTCGATGGCCTTTACCCCCAGCGCTGGGTCATTCCATGTGGGACGGGGTCTGGCTGGCAGCACAGCCCCCAGGGAGCCCCATCCCGGCTGGGGCAGTCCCTTATCCAGAGGAAACATCTCAGCCCAACCATACTGGGCTGGCCCTGGGAGCCCTCTGCCCACCACAGCGCTCAGGCGTATTTTGTCCTCTGGCGTAGCGGCTCCGAAGAGCAAACCAGGGCGCACAGCACACTCTGCAGGCAAGAGGCACGGCAAAAAAACAGGTACGTGCTGCCGGGGACGGGCCAGGCTGGGGCAGCACCTGCTTTGCGGGACCCTGTAGATCCCCTGCCAGATCCCACCTCTGCAGCACTTTTCCTCCTCGCAGCTTTTTGGTGGTGACCGCCACCAAACCAAGTAGATGTTGGTTTTAAGCTGTTTAGACTTGTAGATCCTTATCCCAACCAACCCAATCCACACCACCGAATGTGCATAAAGGGGGGAAGATGTGTGAGTAGCTCCTCCCAGCTCTGCAACAGAGCCGTGCATGGAGTTTTTCATGCATCAAACTCCGAGGAGGGGAGAGGAAGAGGAGGAATTTAGCAGCTCCCAGCTCCCGGTGCAGAAATAGAGAGGGGTGTTCCTGGCTTGGCATTGTTCTCGTGGCAGAGCTGCTCGTGGTTTTAAGCAGTGAGAAAAAGCGTGTCTCTGATTTCTCTTAAGCGTCCTCAAAGAGCTCAAAACTCATCCGGCTCAAACCAAACTCTGGCCCAGTGGCTCCTATTGAATCATACAGAGGTAAGAGGAGGGAGGGTGGTGCTCCAGGGCTCCTTGTCTTCACTCAGGTGATATGGTCCAAGAGACTCAGACATGGAGAGCATGGGGAGGGTCAGGCTATCCAAGTCGTGGTTAGCTGTCAGCTGTATGTAGGAGTGCATCCCTAGACTGCAACAACACTTGGGAATTGCAGACACAATAATTTGAGCTGAAATTCTTTGGATATTGGGTTGTTTCACAGCAGGTCAAGATTACAACAGGCTGCCAGCTCCTCCTCAGGCAGCTGTGAACCAGGGGGAAACCTCTGCCCTGCTTCATCTTCCCTGGTCATCATCTCATTGAGACAAGTCTCCTTCTCCAGTTGCATGTGCATGGCAACCCACACCCTTCCATCCCATCCCTCTGCCATCCTTGAATGTTTAATGTTACTTGCCTGGAACAAAGTCCCAGCTCTGAGCTTTCCTCCTCCTCCTCTCCAGAGGCTGGGGAAGCTCAGACTTGGATGACACCATTTCTTCCCACATTATTCCCTGCCCATGCTGGCTGGGAACCTCCTGACCAGGACAGCTGGGACACAAGGGAACTAAGTCATCTCCTTTCTTCCTGCATTATCCTTTTAAACTCCCAGTAAGATCCAGCACCTGGATCTGACACTGCAAGGTTGTCACTGTCCCAGGTCATGGTAATAAAAAGCAAACACAAGAACCACATCATGCAATTCCTCTGGCTACAAATTCAGCCTGGCTGGTTGTGTTCTAACATGTGCCCACAGCAGAGAGAGGTCAGCCCTGTGGACAGGAGCAGTGCTTGGCCAAGTGACGGTGGCATCTCCCACCCCACCAGCAGCCTTCAGGCAGTGCTGTGCCAGGCAGCCCTGCTTCAGACCTTCACACACCTGTCCACCAGCATTTGAACAACCCACCCAAGCCACACTGCCTTGTACAGACTCATTTTAAACATTTAACCTGAGAGTCATCACCCTTCTCAAGCAGCACTGGCTTGGGAGACACAAGGGGTGTGCTGAGAAGGGACATAGAGGGGAAAAAAGCCAGAGACAGCAAGGTTTTACCTGGACATACAGCAGCTTCAGGTCCACCTGAGCACCCTCTGCCAGCCCCATCCCATGGGCCAGTCCCCTGTGCCCAGCGAGGCAGAGCCTTCACCAGGGCTCTGCACCCCAGCTCAGCTCCTCATGGGTCCTGCAGCCTCCCCAGAGCCAAACCCAGCTCTGCTCATTAACAAGGCAGCTCTGTAATTAGCACCTGACTCCCCTCCACTGCCTGCTCCCACAATTATGCAGTTCCTGAAAGAATCATACAATTGTAGAATCAGCCAGGTTGGAAAGGACCTCTGAGATCATCAAGTCCGGCCCTTGATCCACTACCACTGTGGTTACTAGACCATGGCACTCAGTGCCACATCCAGTCTCATCTTAGAAACCTCCAGGGACGGAGGATCCACCACTTCCCTGGGCAGCCCATTCAAGACATCATGTCCTGGGGTTGCCAGGGGCTGGCTCCACACCCCGAGGGGAGAGAGACCCTCACCCTGCTCTGCTCTCTGAGCGATGACTTCCAGCCCCGATGCCCCCGTGGTGGTGAAGAACAGCCACCCCTGTGTGCACTCATCCCGCCCAGCCCAGCCCTGGGTGGGCAGTGGCCATGACATTCCACCCGGGCAGGAGCATCCCCCGAAGTGGCTCCTCTCCTCCGCCCAGCGGGAGGGAGGGTGTGCCCAGCCCAGCTCCCCAGCTCTCTCGTCCTCTCCGCAGACTGTGAGTGCTACGGGCACTCCAACCGCTGCAGCTACATCGACTTTCTGAACGTGGTGACCTGCGTGAGCTGCAAGCACAACACGCGGGGGCAGCACTGCCAGCACTGCCGCCTGGGCTTCTACCGCAACAGCTCGGCCGAGCTGGACGACGAGAATGTCTGCATAGGTGAGTGTGCCAGCCCCGGGCAGGGCCGCCGGTGTCTGGGATGGCTCATCTGGGTCCTCGCTCTGTGGGGTGGGCTTCGGTTCAGCCCCTGTCTGGAGGATGGTGTGCCCACCTGCGTGTTCCGCGAGGATGATGGTTATTACAGCCTGTGCAGCTTCCCAAGGAAGCTCTTCCCTGAAAACAAACCCCAGATAATATCATAGAATCACAGAATTGTTTGGGTTGAAAGGGATCCACATTAAAGATCATCTCATTACAACCCCCTGTCATGGGCAGGGATACCTTCCACTAGCCCAGGTTGCTCCAAGCCCTGTCCAACCTGGCCTTGGACACTTCCAGGGATGGGGCAGCCACAGCTTCTCTGGGTAACCTGTGCCAGGGCCTCCCCACCCTCACAGTAAAACAGTTGTTCCAACTGGATTCAGATGCGTTGCTGAGCCAGGAGGGGCTGAGCTATGAGAGGTGGCCTTTGCACCCACGGCTGTTTGCACCATCAGGGTGTCTCAGGCCACCATGTCCTCCCTTGGTCTGTAATGTCCCTCCTGTAGCACATTGCTGGGCTTTTCCAAAGTCCCCAACACCTCCCTCAGGGAATGGGCATGCACAGAGGCCCCAGGCAGGGCAGGCACTGACCAGAATGTCTCTGGCCAGAATGTAACTGCAACCAGATCGGCTCCATGCACGACCGCTGCAACGAGACCGGCTACTGTGAATGCAGGGAAGGCGCCACGGGGCCCAAGTGCGACGACTGCCTGCCCAACTACTACTGGAGACAGGGCTGCTTCCGTGAGTACCGGGGCTGGAGAGGCACGGGGACGTGTGGATGGGTCCAGGCAGGAGGGGGATCTTCAGCACTGTGATGCTCGGGGTGGAGGGTGAGCAGATTCCAGCCATTCCTCCCAACTCCAAAACGACTTCGTAGCTCTGTCTGTGGAGTTTGCACCTCCCGCTGTGTTCCTCTGGCCTTGGAAGTGCTCTAGCGCTACGAGGGTTGGATAATTGAACCACTAGGAGCTAAAAGCTTCTAGTTCCTGCTGCAATCAAGGGGTTTAACACCCACACCCTTCCCTCCGTCCCTCCCTCTCGCCTCGTAGCCAACGTCTGTGACGACGAGCTCCTGCTCTGCCAGAACGGCGGCACCTGCTACCAGAACCAGCGCTGCATCTGCCCCGTGGGCTTCAAGGGGGTGCTGTGCCAGCAGTCCAGGTGTGAAGTGGACAAGAAGGACTGTGACGGTGCCCCCAGTGTGGGCGGCAGCCTCGGCACCATCGCCCTGGGGGTGCTGGCCCTGCAGCTGCGCGCCTGGGGGGACCTCTGACCCCACAGGGCAGGGGGCCCAGCCCAGGCACGTCGCCCGAGGGACCCGGGGAGCCCAAGGTAACGGGTGGCTCTCCCCACCGTCTCCTCCGCCTTCCTTCACGCCAGGACTTGCACAACTTTGGGCCCACTTTCCCAGCAGAGGTACCCGCAGAGAACCTGGGGTGGCTCCTGCCCAGCCGGGGTGGCCCAGCCCAGAGCCGGCTGCGGAGCGTGGGGACTGCACCAGCCTGTGCCAGGGGCGTGGGCACGTCCTTCCCTCTGCACAGGGACTCTCCTTCCCTGCCCCACACAGGGCAAGCCGGGGCCGGGGCCGCCAGGGCCCTGCTGAAATAGTGCCGCGATCCAAGGGAGATTTTTTTTATTCTTACTTTCTTTACTTTGGTATAGGCTGGGGTGTTCTTTTTATTTTTCCTCCTCTTAGTGTCCTGTTTCGGAAGAGCCTGTCATGACAACTCCGGAGCCCCACGACACAACAGGCAGGGGAAGGGGAGGGAGGGAAGGGGGGACTCTGGTCCATCCCTGCTGCATAGACCCACATCCCACCATTGGCCTGGCCTGGCCACGCACATACTGTTGCCTACAACTCTAGTTGCTGCATTGATTTTGTATTTTCATTGCTGGGTTTTCTTTTCTTGCACTTATGGAGGACACAAGGGGCCATGAGGCCCGTGGTACGTGAGGAGTGCAGTGTCTTATCCACACATGTCCGAATAGTGTACGGTTCAAATACTTTTTTTGGTAGAGACTTATTTTTGTTTGGATTAAATGTTATAACAGAACCACAACTTAAAGGGACATTTTGCCATGAGCATTTGATTCTGGTGTATTCTCCTCCAGTAAAGCAACTATTAATGGCTGCTTGATCACCACGTTTTCCTTTTTGTGTGCACAGTTAATTACAGGTAAAGACTTATTTTTTGATTCATAATGTCCTCTTGTGTTTTCTGAGTCACTACCAAGGTGCACCACATGGTGAGGGAGAGGGGAGGGAGAGAGAGGTTGCCTCATCGCTGAGAGCTGTTAATTATTTCTCCTAATTACTTTGCTGAACCTAGGTTAGACTACTAACTGTAGTCGATGAACAAAGCCTGAGTGATGCATTAAGCACTGGTATTTTGTGGAAAGGCCATTTCCAAATGAGTCTGTGGCAGGAGAAGACTGGCCAGTCCAGGGCTGCTTCTACAGGGGGACCTCAGCTGTCCCAATCCCATTCCAGCTCCCCCTGCCTCCAGCTGATGCTATGATGCACCTTTTGCAGACAATGCTCTTTATTTTAGCAGCCTAGAATTTCAGTATAGAGATCACAGGGACTAGATAACTTATTTAAGGCCCACAAACATGCCCCTGTCTGAGGAGGCATTTGCAACCAAGTGCATAAGCAAAGGCAGGAGAAACCAGAGACAAGAAATGATGTAACTCAGTCAGAACAATGGGAATGTCACAAACACAAGAGCTTTGGTGGTGTCATATCCAAAGATTTGGATTTCCTTGAGAGGTGAGCAGCCCTTGGTCCCCATCCCAACTCCAGGATGCTCCCTGAGCCAGCCCAGGAGCTCCAAACAGTCCAGGCTTCAGCCTCCACTGGCATCTCCAGGTTGCAGGATGGATATTGTCACTTCAAAGGGCAACACAAATCTGGTGCACATTTGGAGCAGCATTTAACATCACAAAGGCAGGACACAGGGCTTAGTTAATCCGCTGTAAAATAAAAGAGGGTTAAACTCACCCTGCTGAGATTTGATCCTTGAGGAAGTGGGCTGGCCCCAGCAGTGCCTCCCTGTCTGTAAAACTCTCTGTTGGTATCAACACTTGCTTTTCTTTGTAATTCCTCACTGCCATAGATTTAAATCATCATGTTACTGTTCTTACAAGTAATAGCAGAGAAAAGACTGTAACAAGATCAAGATCTCTAATGGCACTTCTGGAAGGTGAAGCAACATTCTCCTTTCCCTGCACTGGTGTTTTTCTCTAGAATATTAGATTAAGCATCAGAAAATTTACTGTTTCATAAAGCCATATCCCAGACAAGCTCTGCTCCCAGCAGATTCACATTTATTGCAATGCAGACAGGAACGTGCCAAGCAGCAGCACCAAATTCCTGCAGAAAATAACCTCAGAAGGGCACAACAAAGCTCAGAACAGCCCAGGAATGAAGACTGCTGAAGGCAATAGACCCCTGCACTAGACCTTTTGAGGTCTGGGGATTTTCTCTTGGTTGATTGGGTGTTGGCTGTTTGGCTCTGGGGTTTTAGAATCATAGAGCAGTTTGAGTGGAAAGGGACCTTTTAAAGGTCACCCAGTTCAACTCTCCTGCACTGAGCAGGGGCATCTTCAGCTAGACATTTTTAAGATAAAGCATCATTGGCTTCTAAACTCAGCTCCAGAGATGGTACCACCTCCCTATGAGCCCTGAATACCAGTAAGATTCAGCCCTGGACCTGCTTTATAACCAAAGCCCAGTGGATGGTTCTGTAACTCCCATCAGAAGCAGAAGGTTGGAGCACAAACCCTCCTGCAACTGTGCCACAGGACACCTGAAAAATGCTGAGGAACAAAACCACAAGTCCACCCTCCACACCATGGGCACCATCCTAAGGCTCTCCCCAGTCGTGCAGAAGCAAAACCCTCTGAATCAGTGACTGCAAAGAACAAACACATGTTCCACCCCACAGAACAAATCAAATGGCCTAAAGGCCGTGAGCAGGGGGGAGTTTTGGATGTCCCTCCCGTGGCTCTGCCTGCAGCACAGCTCAGACACAGAGCCAGCCCCATGTGTGGGACATCAGGACAGCATTTTACTTGTCCCAACGTGCTGTAGAACTTGAAATCACATAACACAAACCACTGCAAGGCAGAAAAGAAAACCTCTCACAGAAAAACTTACATTTGGTATTTAAGAAAATAATTTGAAGCTTCTGAAAGCTTCAGCACTGAAGATCCATTAACTGCAGACATCTGTTAGCACAGGGGTGTCTGCACAAAGAGAACTGAGCATTATTGAAATAACACAGAGAAACCCATCACAACAAGTACCCACAGATCCCAAAGTTCATCTTCTTTAAGATAGAAACATTTGTTCATCAGTTAATGCTTCCAAATGGGAGAAGTTGTCCAATGAGCTTGATGCTTTACTTGGAGCAAGGTTAACCAAAAGGTACTTCTCTTTCTGAGAGAAGCCACTTGCACTCTTTCAAGAGGCTCCATGTGCATCCTGTCACCAGCATTTGATTCCTTTGAAAAAGTTTTTAAATTACACTTCTGTCTGCAAAAAAGTGACCTCTCCAAACAGCACAAGTAGAGCTTTTGATTTTTCTTGTTTACCTCAAATTTCTACTCTGATTTTAACTATTTAGAGTACCAGCAAATCTAAATAACCAAAAGCCCCAAGGCAACAAAAACCTACCTGATGTAAAATGTTAAACCAAGAGTCCCTGGGAGCCGGAGACAGAAGGGGGGGGGAAGAATTCCATTGGCACTTCCCAGGTATGTTATCTGGGTTTTCAAAGATGAGGGAGCAGACATCTCATCTGCAGGAGTGACTCCTAAGGACTCCTAAGGAGCCCTGTGGAGGCTGGAGGAGAGAACCAACACTTTAGTGGAAATAAAATTAATGGTCTCACCTCCCAGTTCTGCTCTGTAATTGGCTTTCATGAAAAGACTCAAATGTAAATAAAATGAAGTATAAAGGAGGAGCTGAGTGTTCTCGCTCAGAAACAAGAGCAGAGCTGGGTTTTGAAGAGTTCTGTATCCCCCTCTTCTCAGCCCTGCTGGCAGGGAGCTGGAGTTTGGCCACAATCACATAGAAAATGGCTAAAGAAAAAAAAGTCACACCTTGATTTGAGATGCAGAGAAAAGCTTCAGACCCTCCTAAAGGCTCCTTTGGCATTTTGATTCCCTGCGTGTTGTAATAAGTTTCACTGCAGGGTGAAACGTGTGAGGAAAGCCTAAACCCACCCATTTCTCCTGGTCAGCAACAACACCAGGCTCCAAAAGCTCCATCCTGACCCCATTCTGCATCACTTCACGGATTAAAACAGAGGGGGAAACTGATGGGATTCCTCTGTAGCAAAGGGAGTTCTTGCTTCGTGCAACAGTGAAATCAGTGACGACACTGAACAGCTGCACCAGTGCAGCCTGTTGGGCCACAAAATGAGGTTTTCTCCATTTTCCCAAAAACAGATGTGATGTGCTCTCAAACCATCTTCACTTCCATCATGCTTTTCCTGGGAGTTGGTGGCAAATTAGCCGAGGCCAGAGCAGACAGGTACATATGGTGAGGAGGTCTCGTGTCAGCGATATTGGATGTCCAAGGCTGCTTAGCTCACATTTATTTGCACTAAAGAATAAGGCATTGGGCTCCTTTCCAAGCAGCTTAAAAAGACAAGAAAGGAGACCTTTTATATTACTTGGGAATGGACCCGTTGTGGCAAGAGACTGAATTATATCATTAACATTATAAATTCCATTTACAATACAGCAGTCATTCATCCATCATTTATTCATGCAGAAGGGAGAGGACGTCCTGCATTTTTAGGACAGTGGTTCACCCTACCCACAGTATTGCTCCAACCACAGGGCTGTGAATGAACAGCCCAGCTCCAGCTGTTGGATGATCCCAGGTTCTCCCTTCTCCACACAAAAGTGAACCCCAGCATCTCACCACACTTCAGTGGCTGCCAAAAACCAAAATCAGCTCTAAAATTACTGGTGTTCCATGTTATCTTTCAGATGCTGACTGAGAATGTTGTTTACCCCCAATCAGTAAGTTTGGTCACTACAAGTTCTGTCTTGCTCTGGAAGTTCTGTGCTTCCTCACATCAGAATAGCAGGGGAGGGGGCTGTTCCCATTCCATGGGCTAGCACAGGGAAGAGGGGAAGTGCCTTTCCAGCCTGCCCATCTCTCTCCCAGCTCCTGTGCCACCATCCATTAGACCAGTTGCTAATTAGCTACTGCACTCAGATGCTCTAGGAGACAGCACTGTAAAAAACTCATTATCCCACCAGTACTCCCAGCAGTGGAAGTGTGAATGTAGAGACTGGGAGGAAGGAGAGGCCGATGCCTCGTGTCCTCCCGGAGCCTGGCACAGCTCTTGTGATTGTCATTCACAACCCAGTGGCACCACCAGCTCTCAGCACCGCTCAGACCCCCCAAAACCACCACACCACGAGGCCAAAACCTCCCTCCTGCACTCCCCAAGCAGAGAATGCTCCTGCAAACTGCTGGTTTCCCTCTGGTGTCCCACAGACAGCTGGTAAGGCAGCACCCCACTGCATGCACAGGGACACAGAGGGAAGGGACACTTCCCAGAGAACAGCACCTGCTGGGTGTCACCACTGCACACACCTGGTTTGCTCTCACATCTCCGGGACTGGGAGTAACGACATGGAAAACGATCACAGCAAACCTTAAAGGAAAAGGGAACAGCCACAGTTATACTCCACCTTTACTGGAAAGCCTATTTTGTGTACAAAGAATAACTTTAAAAAAAAAAACCCACACCCCCAAATCCCCTGAACAAAACATAGTCCAACACTTACAAGAGACTTTTCCTTCTTCCTGATATCCAAGACCACAGAGGGAACTGGCTTTGCACTGGGAATTAAGCTGCCAAGCTTGGAAGCAGCATGGAAGCCTCTGTATAAAAACCTGGATGCTGCTTCTTCCAAAGGGTTTTGGCACAAACTCCAATAAAGTATTTTACATGAAGTTGTATTGAATATGTTTCTTTACTGATTTTTTCCAACTTTTAACACTCAATAATCACTGAACAGCCTCCTCTAATGGCCACCAGTTCTGAGACATTATAAATGACTAAAGCAAGTCTGTGCTCACAGTTTTCACACACTGACTGCCCATCACTACTCAGCACTTTGTAACACACAGTGGAAACAGCAGAGAAGATATGAAAATTGTACCTGATCTGTTTGTTGCCCATTGCAGATTTGAATCAGTGAGAAAAGTGCTTTGGATGGAATTTTGTTTGGTTTTCCATGTTATGGGTATAAAAACAAAAGGGAAAGAAGTTAATTACAGCTACAAACCTACTCTGAGCAGTATGTGAAGAGGGAGAAGTGTTCTAAGAGCAACAACCTAGCATTTTTTAATTAATAAATACATCATTAATGATACAGACTGATATGGCAGCAATAAGCCACTGCTGAAAGACTGACAGCTTAAGCCAGATAAATCTTGGATTAAATCAGCAAAAAGTCTGAGCCACTGACCACACCTCAGAGATGACTTATGGAAAAACACAAGTATTAGAGAGCACAATAAAAATGAAATATTAAACCAAAATTCCTTCCAGCATGGGGCAAGTATCTCTCTCAGAACACGTTCTGAAATGCAGATTGAGGAGAAAGAAAACTAGAAGACAAGTTTGAGAAACGTTCTTGTGACAAAGTTGTATTTAATTACCAGCAAAGCATTTCCTCATTTTATTTTGTTGCCAGCTTCACTTTATTTACATCAAGACAGTCCAAATGGCTTCCCCAGCCGTGGGGTTCACAGAGCAGCAGCCTTTTAATGTGCTAAGTACAAACAGCAGGCAGGGCAGCACAGCCCTGCCAACAAGAGCCAAGGGGGTTGAAAGATGGCAGTGTTTTTAAATATTCCTATTAACATAAAGGGAGATAACATACAGGGCAGGGAGCCTGTGATGTGGGAGTGACCGAAATGTCAGGTTCATTAAAGTCAGACTCACTCCAGCTGCCTTCCCTCCTCTCACAACAAGGGCCCCAGCAGCTGGAGAAGAGCACACACTGCTGACAAGAGGTGGTCAGGGCTCACTGAAGCCACTCAGATTGCAACAGAACGAGTAATTTAAGCCAGACAATGCACAGATGCTGCTCCCACCTCACAGGGATCTCAAGGATTCTCCCGTTACACTGAAATGCTCTGTCCTGCACAGCACAAGCTGGACAGTCACAGATGGCAACTAAAAGCCTCCCAACACACCCACAGTGCAGCTGCTGCCAGTAAAGCACCTTTGTTCCAGGCTGGGATGCATTAAAGGATGTTTTACTGGCAGTTACAGTGTGGTTAGTGCTGTAAGTCCAGTTTCCCTTGACTGGATCCCACAGACCCATTCAGGGGAGGGTTAAAAGGGCAAAGCTGACACTGATCATCAAGTGCAGGACAGAAACTGGAACTAGAAATGATGGCAAAGAGAATTCTGGTGGCTCTTTTGCTTCAGCAAAGCCCCTGCCCTGACACTGGTTCAGTCAGTGAGCAAGGGACAGCAGGGCCCTGTCTGCTTCAGGCTGTACTTGAACACACACAGGGAGATGGCCCAACACTCCCAGTGCACCCAACTGGCCCTGACACTACAACTACTGCATTCCCAAGGTGCTGCATTACCAGGTTGTCTCCTGCAAAATTCTGGGCAGGTGAAATGTTGCTCTTCCCCTCCCTGAGACAGGCACATGGCTCCAGAAAAAGAAAGTGATACTTCAGAGTGACCCAAAGGGATTCTTAATAGAAATAATTCCACTTTTACTGGGAGATGTTGTGATTAGAGGAAGGCTTCCTTACAAATAGTTTGGTTTTCCCCCATCCCCTGTTAGTGGCTGTATATTCCTCACCAGCACAGTGGAAAGAATCCAGTAATAACACCTAGAAAGAACTACCTGCCCTTTTTACCTGTAGATCTCAAAAAAGCTCCACACAAAGAAACTCAGGTGTTATTACCAATAACTGTTAACTAAATCTCTGACCAAGATTCCACAGTGCTACTGATTATTCCTCACATGGACACAAACGGACTTCATGGGTTTTAATCTGCAGGTTGTGTTGCCACTGCAACAGGAAAGGGATTCCAACTGATGGAGCAGCAGCAAGAGCAAAACTCAAGGCACATCTGTATAAACAAAAACCTCTTCTGTTCCTATAAAAACAGGCAATAAAATATACAAAATAAGTAGAATTCTCTCCATTCAACCAATGTACATCTGCCTCAGTCTTTCCTGAGGCACTAGTGGAGCATGAGGGAGAACCACTGCTACCACATTTTCAACATTCACTTTTGCTATTAAATAAATTAGACTCATTAGTGCAAAGGGAAAAAGAAGTCTGGCTGTTTTTTTGATTTGGGGGTGGTTTTGTTTGGGGTGGTTTTTTTGCTTTGCTCTGGTTCTTCATAAAAAAATTACATCTCTAAGAAATTAGCATTTACACAAGGAAAAAAGAAGCTACATATTTGCCAAATTAAATCTTAAAATAATTCTGTATACTGTACAAATATACATTGTTAAACATTTACAACCCTTAGCTTCCTAGATGACAAAATTCACTGCTCTTCCAAGCAATGCAGCTGCCCAACTTCTCTTTTCCAAACCTCAAAGCTCCCACCTGTCAGGCATAAAGTCCCTTCACAACTAGGGACAGGATGGGAAAAAGATCTACTGAGAGTAGTGGTATCAACAGGAGGGAGTTCCAGGTGTGCTGAATAATTTAAAATACAGTCCTTGCTAGACAGAAATCTGGGAATACACTTTTCAGTGATGAGCCAATAGTGAAGTCAATGAGAGATCTTTCTTCGTTTGGTAGTGCCTGATTCTGTGCTCTCTGGTGGTTCCTCTGATGGTCTCCTGGTTAAACCACGACAGTCCTTGTTCCCCTCACTGCTATTGCTTTGACCTCCTTCACTGAGGGGTTTTGAACCACTTTTGGACACAGCCCCTCTCCTGTCACCCTCGTGCTGAGCTGTGGAAGATGATGTGGAAAGCACATTGCATTGTCCCGTTGTTTGCTGGGCCTTCCCAAGGTTTTCTGTTCTGGAAATCTGATCCCTGGCAGCTGAGGATGCATTAAGGCCTTGCTGTGATGTGGCTCCTGGATTGCTCTGGGCTGACCAACTGCCATCTTTCAAGGCCTGCTCCTTCCCTTTTGTCTCAGTTCTACTGGCCAGCCTTGGGTCCCGTGGTTTCTCTGCATTGGCAGGAAGTGCTGCAGCCCCCACGGGCACAGGGGCACTGCCCGTCCTGGAATCTCCAGCAGGAATCCCCATGGATGCAGGGGCACTGCTCCTCCTGGAATCTGCAGCAGGAGTCCCCACAGGCACAGGGACATTGGGCCTCCTGGAATCTCCAGCAGGAGTCCCCATGGATGCAGGGACGCTGCCTCTCCTGGAATCTGTAGCTGGAGCCCCTGGAGGCTGTGGGGGCCCTCGGCTTCCTTGGGGCACTGCATGGCCAGGGCCAGCAGCAGCTTCCCGTGGGCTGCTCCCAGGATTTGTGAGCTCAGCCCTCTTGCCACTGTTAGAACCAGACTGCACCAGAGGAGCTGTTATTGTTCCTGATTTGGCCGAGGGCTGCATTGCTGGCCTGAGCTTCAAAATCTTCAGAGCATCTTTCTTGTAGTTCTTCTCCGCTGTCCTGATAATGGCACCTCTTTTCTGAGCATCCTGAATCAAGTGATTCCAGTTTTTATCTTCCTTTAAAAAAAAAAAAAGGGGGAAAAGAAAAAAACCCCAGTTATTAGCCAGAAATCAACACAAAAGGACAGAGGTGTCAGAGGATGAACAACCCCTTTAACCAAGGTACCTGACACAACTGTCATGGAAACCACTGTTATGTTCCTTCTGGAATGGAACAATCTTATGTTTCAGCTGCAAAACAGCTACAGACACTCTGGCTGCTGTAACACAGGGAAGGTACTTTGAACCAGCAGAAGTACCAAAAATGACAAATTCCCTATTTCCAGGGGTTTCTCTCACTGGCACGTGGCTCTATCGCCCTCTAATGGCGAACGGACACCCCCCGCCCTCGGGAAAGAGCAACCAAGGGCTAAGACACAAAGTTTATTCTCTTCCCGGGAGGAGTCTCGAGGGTGGGTTTGAGTTCCCAGCCCTGCCCCGAGGGTGGATCACAGACAACCGTCCAGCTGACACTGCACCTACCATGAGGGTCTGCAGCCTGCCCAGGATGAAGAGGCTGAACCTGGCTCGGGTGATGGTGACGTTCAGGCGCTGAAGACTCGCCAGGAACCTGAGTGACAAGAAAACTAAGCTCCTAAACTACTCCTTCCACAGGGTTTAGGGGTTGTGAGAAAAAGAGATAAAATTAAGTGTCAGTGAAATGAACAGCAGCAGTTCCACAGGCAGCAGCATCCCCAGACCCCCTGGCAGCAGCCCTGCCTTATGTGGAAGGCCTGGCATGAACTGTGTTTTCTTTCACCACACTGATTCCTTGAAGGGAATTCCAGTTCTTTCCAGCTCTTGCCGTTGATGTTTCCTTTCTTAGAGCAAATCCCCTCTTAATGCCAACCACTGCTTCCTTAAACGTTCCTCAAAGTACCGAGGACATCAACCTCACTTCACCTATCAAGACTTTAAGCTTCTTTTTGACTTGAACTGAAATAGATTAACAATATTTGGCATGATTAATGGGAAAATATCCTATTGAAATACTGAGCACTGGACATGAATATTTTATTTTAAAGGTGACCTGCACTGGAAGCACATCAAAGCAGACTTTTGCTTTGTCATGCTTCAAGAGTGGAAAGTGTATTCTTGCAGAACAAAGTCTGGTTTTGCACTGTGAAGAGTGTCTAGTTCTGTTTTTGTGGGATCACCAAGGTACTGAAACCTAAGCAAATGCTTAGTGTATTCTTAAAGGTTCATTTCTGTTAGGACTTACTTATGAAAACTGAAAAAAAGGTTTGTGAAACTATTATCAGCTATTTCTTATCTAATAAAAAAAGCTCCCCAAATGCACAGTTTATTCCATACTAAGCAACATCTGCAAATCAAAGTCCACGTACAACTTAGTTTGAGTGTGTTCACTATCAGTGCCTGACACTGCGGGCACTGCACTGAGATCTGATCTTCAGCAGATTCACAACCCCTGCAGTATAAACATTGCAAAAACCACAGAGTCACCTCCAAAAACTTGGACAGTGCAGGAAAAAAGCGAGAAAGGCAGGAAGCAGATGGGGGAGAGGATTCAGCAGCACAGGTATTGTAATTCTCTGGGTCTCGAGAAGTAAAGGAGGGGGGATTTTGAAAGACTACTAAATATTCTTAACAGCTTTTACAATTGAAAGACAGCAAGATTATTTTCTCAGGAAAGATTTAAAAAAATCCATTGTCATCTCTTCGTGTTTTCTCCTCCCTTTGCAAGTTACTTTCAGAGTAAATTTAACGCTGGATCAGCAACCTTGGAGAACAAAATACTTTGCAAAGCTACAAGATCATAGGTAAGGGTGTGGCAAATTTATCCCATCACACCTCACCCTGAAGCACAGATGTCCAAGTCATCAGTACCTACAGCTGCTAAGGCAAAACTTGAATATATAAACCTTCATATAGTTTTATAGTAAGCTGGAAAGTTTTCTTCCAAAAGAACAGAAAGAAGTTAAGTCCTGTGTCAGCCAAAAGAATTGGCAGGTTCCATCTGCCTTCAGTTTCCAAACTCAAATCAACCAGATTAAGAAAACTTCAAAAAGCATTATTGTTGTTTACTATAGGATTTGGATTCTTTCTCCTCCCACAGTAACACGGATCAGCACAATTAAAAGCCATTTGTCTTGCAACCAGAGAAACATAAGCAGCTTAGGGAAACCTGGTATGTAGAAACAAAGATTTTTGTTTATGCAACCAGGCTTTCTATAGTTTAACTTAGAAGCCAGCAAACTCTAAGAAGGCATATTTCATATTTCCACTACCATTTTTTTAACTAAAATTATCCACAAGTTACAGAAACAAATCAGCAACTGCTGTAGTGCTCTGAGGTTAAATAGCACATTCAGTGTTTAGTTCCTTCTGTTTCAGACAGAAAAAGCAACATATAAAATGAACAAATCTGTGATCTTGAATCGAGATTCCTGCAAATTTGCCCTTTACTCAAAAGACAAGGACATTCATCTACAAATCCCAGATCCAGCTCGGCTACATCACATTCCAAGTAACATATATAACTAGTTAACCATATTCTCACAACAGAATGCTGTACTAACAGGACAGCAACAGTCAGAAAATGGATTTCATTTTGAGAGAACAGTGTTCAGAAAGTTACAACGTGTACCAAAAGCTACAGGAACAGTAACTGCTGCAGAATTAATGCACAGAGCCAAGATCCCAAGGCCAATCCTGCCAAGCCCAAAGAGCCACAGGCTAAGGGAGCCGTGCAAAGGGATCAGCAAGGAACAGAGAGCAGGACACCAGCATTGCCCTGTCCCTTTTGTTCTCAGATCTCAAACCAGTAACACAAATTCACGCCCTTTAATTCACTGACTGGTAGAAGTGACTCGTTCTCTGTAACCTTCTCACTGGTCCTATCAAAAATACAACTTTATCCACAGTGTCATTGGAAATGTAACTTGCAACTCAGTGCAGGACACGTACCCAATGGATCCTTTGGTGCTGTTTGCCTGGACATATGTCAGTGCTGACCCCTCAGAGCTGTTTGCTCGGACACAGGACACTATGATACAATCCTTCTCTCGACCCTGGAACGCATCCACTGTGTCCACTTCTCCTGGGCTGTTGAAGAAAGAATTTAACAGCTTGCTAATTCTATTGGTTGAATTTTTCAGCAACTCACTGATGCAAAGAGTCCAAACACTGTCCTTAATGCTCTGTCAAAACTACCCAGGGTAAATTTTAGCTTCTGTGTACAAGTCTAAAAGATGAATTTACTTTTCTGAGAGCAGCATCATTACTGAAAAGCTGTTCTGGTCCACACAGCTTGGAATTTTAGGTTGTCTTTTAAACCAGCTTTATTCAGAACAGCAATATAATCAAAGCATGTGCACAGGCAATAACTAAGAAATGGTACAAGGAGACCATGCCTGTTTTAAGCAAGAGGGTTGCACTTCCCCTTTGAAGGCACAACCAAATACAAATTTTAGCAGTAGACAAAGAAGTTTGAGAGTTTTTACCATTACTTTAAGAGGATAAACAAAGGATTAGTATGCAAGAGCAAGGTCTCATCTGAAAACTCGTGGTTTCTTTACCTGTTATTCCTAAACACACTGTCCAGTTGACCTTGAATTCTCTTTTTCTGAGCACTGTAAGGGGTGATTATTCCAATGCGACGAAGACCCAGATCCTTCCTTTTTTCTTTAATTGTTCTAATTAATTCCATCACCAGCTTCACTTCCCGAGGGTTACTGTAAGAGCTAAACAGGACAAAATGGAAACATTACAGAAACACCTTTGACAGATCTTTCCAATTCAATGCCCAATTTGTTGGGGGATTGTGAGTCACAGCTTGGCTTGAACTTGTGCAGCTTCTTTCACACAGAGGCTCAAAGAATTTGGCAAACAGACTCTGAGGAGGGGCTGCCAACCACGAGAAGTGCAGGCAGGGAAAGGCTGCACTTCCATGTTCCTTTAGCACCTCCCAGCTGTGCTTTCCTTACACAACAGGCAAAGGGGAGGACTGAGCCTGCCACCTCCTGGCATCACCTCAGCCTGCACCTGGGAAAGGAAAGTCACTGATGATAAAAAAAAATTAGGAACTCAAACTATTATAGAGTTAGATACCAGTAAGTGCCTTCAGGCTCTGCTAACAGGTAAGTCAAACCAGGATTAAAACCAGTTTCAGATTTAAAAAAAAAAAAAAAAAGCCGAAACCATTCAACAGCTGTTTTTTGTAAAATTAAATCAAATCAAGTAAAAAAATGCAGTTCTAGCTACCTAGTGTATATTGGGAACAACAGAGGAGAGAAGACAAGCCTTCTCTAGGTAATTAATTATCAGAAAATCTGAACTTTGGCTGATTAAAATGCAGGACTTACTCGCAGTCTCGCTCCTCACGACCATCTGCTACATCAAAAATAAGGTAGGGCTGGAATGGCCAGTCTGAAGAACATCTGTTCTCTTCTATTGCTCTGTAAATAACATTTTAATCACTAGGTAACCATACAGAAATGCTAACAACTGATACTTCATTTGTTTACATCAAGGTTATCAAACGCAAGGAACTCTCCAGGATGAGAGGAAATGGCCTCAAGTTGCACCAAGGGAGGTTTGGATTAAATATTAGGAATTTTTTTTTTTTTCCAGGGAAAGGGTTGTGAAGCTTTGGAACAAACTGTCCAAGGAAGTGACAGGGTCACCATTCCTGGAAATGTTCAAAAATCGTGTGGCACTTGAGGACATGGTTTAATGGTGAACATGGCTGACACTTGAACTCGATGATCTTGAAAGGTCTTTTCCAACCTTAACAATTCTCTAACTTTCAGTTTTCCCCCCTCTGCCAGAGTCCTTAATTTTCACTGCTCCCCAAATATACTGAGGCCTAAAACTGAGCTCTTGGCAGTCTGTATGCTCCATTTTAAGGGATCTAGTTAACTCACCTATCACAGCCAGCACCGACAGGACATGGAATGCACAATTCCTCCCGTGAACCATCTTCGCCCCCCTCCCACAACCTCAAGAATTTTTAGACTTAAAAGAATATCCTGACCTGAGAAGTTACCTTTGACAGAAAGGAAAACAGAGAGCTACTCACTTGGCAGTCTTCAGGGTTTTGCCATAGACATAGTTGGATGGGAAGAGGCAGATGTCGGGGTGCATCCTGTACTGCACAGTGAGCTGCACCACGGGCAGGCTCCGCAGGACATTCCTCTGCACTTGCTCCTCCAGGAGCCTCTGCAGACGAGCCATCAAGGACTGGTCGTAGCCAAACTGCTGAGCTTTCTGCCAGAGGGAGAACAGGACACTGACTGCTGGGGAATTAAGTCCCAAATTACAAAGAGGAATTTGTTTGGTTTTTTTTTTAAATTAAAGCTATTCGTTTTCTTCTAAATCGCTGGCAAAATGGCAACTAGTTGCACTTCAATTTTTCATGTGTGTTAGTCTTACTATTGCAGTAAAGGTCAACCTGCATAAATGTGAATTTTTGTCTTTAGCAAGGCAACTTTCCTTTCTGAGTCACAACACAGTAACATTTTAAAAACATCAATAATGAAAAGCAAAGTCTTCCAGGTGGGATCTCATTAAACAAGCCTCTGGAGAATTTATGCCTCTAAGGAAGCCAGTCTGTTTTTCTCTCCTTTCTTCATCAGGTGCTTAAAACAGTCCAGAGTGTTGGATACAAGGAAGTGCTCCTATATGTTCACGCTTAGAACATGCCTGTAGGGTAAGGAAGTGTCCATACAAACAGGTAGTCTTCATCCTCCCTTCCTTAAGGAATGTGACACTTACTGAAGCTCCCATAATAAGATACCAGCCTGCCACAACATCCCTCACAACCCACCTGAAGTTTCTATTGCCACAATGAAATGTCTCTTTTCCCCTCCTTTAAGTATTTTCTATAAATACAATTTTTAAACTACACAGCAAGAAAAAAAGAGTATAGTTTGAACACTTACTACTGATTTTACAGTAGGAGGGAGCTGTTTGGGATCTCCAACAAGGACGAGTTTATTACAGCGATGGATCAGTGGAATCAGTGTCTCCACCTCACAGGACTGTCCTGCCTTTTGTAGATGCAGAGAGGACAAAAAGTAGTTGTAAGCAAAGGAGGGAAGTATGTTAAATTTCCTGTAACACAGCCAGATAACTTACATGCTTTAAGTCTTCTTAAAAAAAAAAATAAAAAAGGAAAAAGAAGGACTTTTCCCTAGTTAAAAACTGCAACCAGATTTATTTTATTATTGCATTTGCAGAGCTCTCCAAACAGATATAAATATAACCAAACCATCTGGAAATCTCTACAGCAAGAGCCACACTTTAGCCATGATTTTCAAGTAAAAGCTGCCTGCCATTAAAGCACCAAACAAGTCAGCAAAAGAGGCAATTAAAAGTCATTCTTTGTCCTCATGGTTCTACACAGGAGGACTGGCTGGGTATCAGTTAAAAGGTGGGGATGGGGCAGGAAACCCACAATATATTCCACCAGCAGCCAAACAACTACAAGCAGCTTAAGCAGAGCTAGAACACTGTAGTGCCAAAAAGCTCCTCTGACCTCATCCACGATGACACAGCTGAAGGGGTCGTGGCCTTGCCGTGCAAAAGCCGATTCCAGCAGACTCCCTCCACTGGTGCTCAGGGTGCAGCAGATGATGTCAGACTCCAGGATGATGTCTGCCTGGACCTTCTGGGAGTGCCCACGAACCTTCAAGTACAACAGGACACCTCTTTTAGCTTTCTGTAACCTCCTCAGAGCAACTGTTAACTGCCTGCACAGGTCTAATTGCCAATGAGCTCGTGCCTGATGAACCATCCCAATGGAATTGTTTCCATTATGACAAATGAAAGTCACAGGTTTATTAAACTGAAGTGTTCCCTTCATTTGAAATTACAGGTCAGTGCCATTGAGGGTGGTAAACTGAAAAGAAATACTCCTTTCTACAGCTAAAACACATTAACTGAGAGCAGAGTTTAGTTTGCCATCCTATTTGTAACTCCAAGCCTCCATGACCATTAAGGGTCAGCATATATTCATTAGAGGAATCTTCATTCATCTCGTTGTTCATGCTACTTCACATTAATTACTGGTTTTGCTATCAGTGCCTGTTTCCTCTTTCAGATCTACAAACACACAGAAAACCCTCCAGCTGTTGCTTTACTCAGAAACTTTTAAGAGTATCTCAATTCCAGCAGGACTGTATGAAAGTGTGGATGAAGATACATCCTAGAACATGAGGACAGGCACATTTTTATTACCTTATTTGTCAAACATGTTATGTTTGGTTTAAAATTCACCCTTAATTGTAACAGTGAATATTCCTGTTTGGCTTTTCTGTTTGTTGCTGGCTTTTTTCCCAGCCAGAGCACACACCCAGATTTCACACCTGCCTGTCCATAACTTACTCAGCTTATAACCTTTTATTTACTTTATAAATATTCCCAACTACATCAAAACCAAATTCCACCACAATTAAAGGACATCAAGTATATAAATACATCAGCTGAAGTTTAATAAAGAGCTGCCTTAAAGACAAATTCCTACCTCCTTTTGCTGAGAAGCAAGTTGTTGTCTCTCCTTTGCAAGTCTGGCAATCTCTTCATCTAACATTTGACTCTAGATGGGGAAAAAATAAAGAGAAACCACCTTTAATACCACCCATTTCCCATATTTCTTCTTTCCTCCCATACCCTACATTTAGACTTGCTTAGACTGACTTTTAATATCAGATGTGTCCAAAAAAGCCGAGCAGTTTCTTGCAAAGTTGTCAACATATTTAGGTTTTGCAACAGACAATACTACCTCTTACATTTCTGTGCAAATGGGAAATGGTTCACCATCAGAAATCTGTAATTTGAGCAGAAATGCCCAATTTTTAAACCAAAAAAAAAAAAAGTGGAAAACTTCAAGTGTGACACATATTCCAAAAATCTCAGGTCACAAGGTCTCTTACTATTTCCAGTGAAACAAAACCAGAGCTTTGAAGTATACAATCAAATTAAACCATTAAGATTTATAAATATGGTTATATTAAAAACTAACGGTGACAGAACCAAACTGAACACTAGAGCAACAAGTGGCACGAGCAACCAGTGGAAAACACTGGCATAAATAAACAAAAAAAATCCCTGATGCAAAGTTTTTCATTCCCTTTTACAGTTACTGCTCAGAGGTGACATAAAGTGGTTCTTTATGCTTTCAATTCTACAAACAGGATTAAAAGTTATGTTGCTACCTCTCTCTTCTCACATCTGTGCATGGCACGCTGCCGGGACAGCATGTCCAGCTTCTGATCCAGAGCTGCTTTTTTCTTCTGAACATCCTGGTCAGAGTCCCCCGGCTTTCGTTCTGTCACAAACCAAAGGACAAGTTACAGGAGGAACAGAAAAACTGTCACAATAACTCTTGCTCTCAGCCATGGATATGAAACTTTTAAGAGCAAATGGCCCATATATAAACTGCCACCTTTCCACTAAGACTGAGAAAACCAACGCTTTGCTGCAATACTCCTGTAGAAGAATCTTCCTTCTTACAGGACACATAGTCCCACGTGTAAAACATCACCAAGCTCTTAATGAAGACTGAGGGAAAGTCTGATTTGCATGTTACTTACTCATTCTATGCTCCACTTGCTTATCCAGGCTAAATGCCCGGACTTCATTGTTGATGGCTTTTTCAGCACCAAGTCGCACTAATTTGATATCACCACAATTTCCTGTTTAAAAAAACAGAGTAAAAATACTTTTACATTACTTCAGTCATCTCTCCACTTTGGTATGAGAGTTAAAAAAATGTGAACATCGTGGATATCAAACAAGGCTTTTCCTTTTCTACTTATCTGGGGTTTTCAACAATTCGCTTGTACTTATCTAAATGCAGCTACAAAAAGTCCAGTAATTCCAGACTCTAAAAAATAAAAATATTACCTGTGTTTTAGTGGTGGTTAACACCTAATAATGTTATTTTGAATTAACAGAATTACATCTTATTCTCACGTTTATCTAAAACTTACAGAACTCCTAATTTAGACAATTATTGAGTACCATCAAGAAATGCAGTTGGTAAGTCAATAAAAACTAACATTTGGTTACAACACAGATATTTTTTCCCTTGCCACAGACAAACTACCTTGTTCTGAATTCATCTACTTTGTGTTAGTCACAGACTGAGAGGAGGAAAAATGAGAGGCTCTGACACATCAAAACTTTCACCACTTTGTTCCGCATGATCAGCAAAGTCCGACTTTATTCAAAATCAAGGCAATGGCCTTGTGTTCAAATCTTTAAGTGCTTAAAAACTGATGAACTTAAACCAACAGCATGAGGAAAAGATCATTGTCTATATAAAAACAAAGTGCTATTTATTTAAAAAGAAACACACAACACACCTTTCAGAAAAGCATGTTAAAATTAACAACAGTGTGAGGATGTACCGGTCATGTCCTGTAAGAGGAAAAAGCTGCTCAGAGGAGCATGTTAAGTACAATGTGTAATCAACTGTTTCAGTTCCTCCTTCAGGTTTTGCCTATTTAACATAAAAACAGAATTTTGAAACAAGCCATACCCAAAGGCTCCTGTTTGTTTTGGCACTTTTCCTTAAATGCCACGATGATCTTTTTCATGAGCTCATCCACAGCAGCGTTTGATGGTGCACAGACCAGAAAACGGTTTGGCTTCATCTTGGAATTCTTTTTCCGGGCTGTTTTCTCATTCCTGGTGTTCTGTAGAGGAATTCACAGCAAACCAAAACGGGCTCTTTAGATGGTTTCATTTGTGATTTAAAAGCCAGACAATACGTTCACTTAATCAGCAGGCAGAGTGTGGGGGCTCTGGCACTTGAACATCCCTTCAGGTACATTTTATACTGAGGAACAAGCAGTCAAATATATTAATACTATTTGCATAAATTCCCTTCAATAATGTACTTGAATCTACTGGCTGCTTATATGAAAACCATTAAGTGGGATAGGCCAAATAACATTCTTTAATAAATCAAAATATTACTTTTTTAATGTAACAAGTGTTTATACTACAACTGTGCATGTTTTCTTGATTTTTCCATTTTAAGGTAAGTGTTCCAAACAGTATTATTTCCACCTTTCCACCCTATACAACACAGATTTAATCACATCAGCTTCATAAATTACACCCTCAGTAATTACCAATACTACATTTTCTATTAGTTTAAGCTATCACTGACTTCCATTGAGGAACCAAACCCCAGCACACGACCTTCACATCATGTTCACTCACTTCTCTCAAAACACGAGACAGAAGTCCTACAATAGTTTTTGATTTCCCTGTCCCAGGTGGCCCATGGATGAGGCAGATCTTGGGAAGCCCTGGATGTTGCTTTAGCATGGCATAAGCTGTCTCAATGGCTCTCTTTTGATCTTCATTGTATTCATTCATACACGAAGCCTGAAGGAATAGAGAGGAGGAAAAAATAACAAATTAATGTTGATCAAACCTTTCCTGTATTTTCAGAACATCCCCACCCCTCCTGCTACAACTCAAAAGCTGGAAGGGCAGGGAAGCTTTTGATTCTAGGTTTGCTCTTGATCCACACCCAATCCTGACCTGAAAGTTGCAAAGAAGATTTTGTTTACTCTCCACACCCTTATTTTTACATTAGCTTTTCTATACTGTGTCTTATTTCCTGAACACTTCTCCAGTAAGGAAAAAGAAAACTGAAAGCTGCTTGAAGCACACAATGTCAATATAGCACAAACAGCTGAGCAAGTTCAGACTCCTCTCCACCCAATCAGCCAGCTCTGAAAAGTTGTCTCAATGTCTCAGTGCTTTTGGAACTCGTTTGTTTGCCCTTGGTCACCTCCACAACCAGATTTGCAAAACTCCTAAGGTACAAATGCCCACTTTGTTAATCCTGCCCCCCTTGTAGCTGCAGGACTTACAGCACTTCCTGAGGCCACAGGCAGATCTCTGGGACAGAAGTCATTGTAGCAGGGGTTTATGATGGGTCTGGCCAGGGGACTCCTGCTCAGCAGCAGCAGACCTTTGAAGGTTCTGTGTGTGGTCACCAGGGACCCAACCACCACACACTTCACTTGCTTGTGGATGCAGAAGGACAGGTTGCCTCTGGTTTGCACAGTGAGGTGACAGACAGTGTGCTGCTCCTGCTGTCCTGGTAAAGGAGAGGAAGAAAAAACAAGTTGTTAATTCAAATATCCAAATCGTTAACTGAAAGATACTTCAGTAAGTCACTCCATTAATTCACCAGAACAAGGGGCTGTCTTCTACTAAGGAGCCAACGACTAACTCTTGCAGGAACCCCAACACCTCCCCATCTCCATTAAAAAAAAAAAAAAAAGACAAAACAAAACAAAAAATCAGTGCTCTGTAAAACTGCTCAGATCACTGCTTTAATCAGGCAGGTACTGGATACTTGGTGATCCTGGTAATTCACAATTTCAGTTCCAGAAGATAGTGACAAGTTCAGTCAGTGAGGTCACAAAAGTTCATGGCATTTATCTCCCATGGCAATGCCCTCCCTAAAGATGTGTGCAGAGCACTTACTCATAGTTAGCTTCTGTTCTTACATGAAGTATTAACATTTGTATTGAAGGAAGTCCCCAGGAAAACGGAAAGCAGCTCTGCAGCTTCAGTTCCCAACTTTTTACAAAGCTTTTAGCATGGGACATGCTAGAGTGGGAAAACAACCCCATTTCCTCTGAGGGAAGCAGTATATACCAACAGCCAGCTATGAAGAAGTATTTTATGGCACCAAGAAGAATCCCAGTCTCATTCCCACCACAGGTACTTACTCGCTGTATAACCAGACGCACGAGAAAATCGTGTCACGAGCCCAACGTGATTCACCACGTGGTTCTCCATCCCACTTTCTTCCCCAAAGGTGTCTTTTTCCATTTGGACCACCAAAAGGATTAAGTCATCCTCCTTTGGATGAAGCTGCCTTGCCAAGTCACCTTCTCGAAAATGAGCTACCCAAAATACACGTTGAAATTCGAACATTGAAAAGAAAACGGTTACGATTCCCTTCTGACTCCAGAAATGCTACAATCAACATATTATAGAGACTTCAGTAATACTCATCTGTTAACTTTTAAAGCTATTAAAAACTACAGCAAGGGATTATATAGAATTTTAACTTCATCCTGCATTCTTAAGCCTGAACACAGCACTGTATAAAACCAGAGCAAGTCAAGGACTACTTTATCAAAAGAAGCTGAAAGAAAATCCCAAATGACAGGCAGGGAAGACACAAATTCCCTGCAAAATACATATTTCTGTTACATGCATTCTGTAGAATAGCAGAGTCAAGATCTTCTCTGTATTTAAAGCAAATTAAAAAAACTCTAAGTGCCAGCTCATTATAAGGCATCACCTACTTGAAAATCAGAAGATTTTATTTAAAAAAAAATCCTTACCTGTAAAATGTGCTGTGTTCATGTCAGCAGAGAAGTTCTCCAAGGTGAAGCAGTAACTCTTCTCTCTTGCTTTCTGATTTTCTACCCACTCTTGTGCCAGCTACATGTTAAAAAGTAAATAAAAATACTTTGAAGGGTTTAGTGTATCAGAAGAAAAGCTTATCATGACTCAAAGGGCAAATACACTACCAGACTGCCAAGTAAATACATCAAGAATCTTACCCAGTTCTTTTTTTCACATAAGCACACACATTATACATAAACACACAGGGCAAACAAAATTGCTTCCTCCCCACTCACCCATTTAATGTACTTTCTTAAAGCTTTTCAAAACAAATGAGGGTTCCCCCAAGTGCATTTTCACCTTAAAATATCAATATTACTCTGGCACTGACTTAATTTTTTACCTTATTTCTATGGAGGAAGTAATGCAATGACTGAACTTGAAAGCATTCAGACATTAACTGAAGGAACACCATGTTTTGTTGTTATTAAACTATAAACCATTAAAGTTTGGGAAAAATACTTGGATTAACCAGCACTCTCACGTAAGTTCTTAACAGAAATCAAAACAGTAGGGTTTTATCCTCTTTTTACAAATGCTGTCAGTGAAAGACCTCAGTTTCTTAAAGATTTCTGCTTTGAGCTTTATATTCTCTAGAGGAACCACCTCCTTTGTCTCTCATTTTACATGTTATTGTGGATTTGCACCCAGGGGAAAAAAAAAAAAAACAACAAACCAGTTCACTGAGGTGAATAACCCTGGTAGTCCCCAACCTTAAACACAACTGTCTAGATTATTTTCCCCAAATCATTCCTCTACTCTGATCTGTATCTGAACATTTTCAGATGGTAAAACAGAGGACACAAACCAGGTTTTAACCTCTTGGTAAAATTTACCAGGGTTGATGCAACCAAACCGAAAGGCAGAGACTACTTACTGTTTCAAAGGCATTCAGCATCATCAACGGGAAAAAGGTATTAAAATAGTCGTTGTAGTCCTGAAATTGGACAGGAACAGAGGCTACCACAGACTGCAGGAGATTATTTGGAGTTCCAAAGCAGCTGAAGTTCGCAAACATTTCGTAAGTCCACTTGAGGACTTGATTAACAAAAACGCTGTAATCGCGCTGCTGAGCGCCAAGAAAGGAGGAATATGCTCCTCGCCCAGAGCCTCTGGAGATATTCAAAGCATTGTCATACTGTCTGTTTTGTGACTGGAGAACATTATTAGAGATCTGGGGCTGAGGGACGTTGCTGAAGCCTGGAGCCTTGCAGGGTTGATTTCCTGGTGGTGTGTACACTTTGGGGAGGGGTGGCCTGACCACCGCGGGTTTCGCCGCGTTCACTTTGCTTTTGGAAGGTGGGGGTAACTTTTTAACGTCTTCCAGGTCCTTGCTGAAGGCTGCATTCCGGGAAGAGCTCACTGAGCTGAAAATTTTGGTAGTGGAAGGCTTTTTTACTTTGGGAGGCGGGAGAGAAGGTTTGGCAAACACGTGGTCTGCTCCTGAGTTGGTGGCTGCGTGTTTACTGCAGGACTCTCCTGGTTTTTCCACTTTTTCCGTACAGTCTTTGTGTTTACATTTTGGAACAGCTGGGGACTCATTCTGCTGAAGGCTTTCAGCAACATTCATTTCCTCTGGGGTTTTACTAGCTATAGCAGTATCTTCAAAACTTTCCTCCTGAGAACATAATTCCATGTCCACGGGATCTAACTGAGTTAAAAACAGATTATCATCATCTTCTTCATTGCTTTCATATGATTTACACCCATTTGGTTTTGAAGTTTTCATCTCACTCTCAGGCAGGACAGTGCAACTTTTCCCTGAAGATTCATCTTTATCATCTCCAAGTGCAGTGGAAGAGAGACTTGAATCCACAGGGACAGGAGCCATCACACTGTTATCCTCCCATTTTCTGCTCCAGTCTGAAGAACCAGGCAGTTTAGAGGCACATGCCCCCTCTGCCACAGACAGGCTTTCAAATTTTCTCTCACTGGCAGAGGGACCAGCAGTTTCCTCTCTTCTTTTCTCTCTTTGGCTTTCAATAGACGCCAGTTCAAAACTTTGAGGCTTTTGTTCCGTGGATTTCACACGCGCCCCGGCACCTTTTTTGCTCCTACTCTCGGAGCTTCCCGCGGGACTTTTCACCCTGGCGCTTCTCTTGGGCCTCATCTGCCTTAAGAACTGCCGGTCCTGACAGGCCAGCAACTTCTTGTTGCGCTTCACAGACAAGCTCTGAGCGTCGATGAGTTTGGTCCTCAGTTTCTGCGCGGTCCCCACCCTCCCCGCGGCCTTGCCGTGGCTGCGCAGCTGCGCGACGCTGTCCCGGGAGGGCTGCGACAGCTCACAGGCCTTGCGGGGGCCCTTCTTCAGCCCGAGCTTCTCCGCCGTCGACGTCGGAGCGGGACGCTGCCGGATTTTCCTCGGAGGGACCACGGCAGGCATTGACTTGCCAGGCTGAGGACGTTCTGAGGCGCTCTGAAGCAGTTTTTTGTTTTGGGCTGTTTTAACGACGGGGCTTTTGGGACTCCTCTGAACGGCTGTTGCTAATTTAGGTTTTGCCGCGGCCTTCGGGGGGCTCGTGTTTTTCTTCCAGGCCAGCTTTGAAGCCAATGAGATGGCAGATGTAGATGCTCTGGGTTCAGGTGAGCCCAGGGTGAAGCCTTCAGCAGCAGCGCCTTTGTCTGCAAGTTTCTCCAGCTGCCCTTTTGCATATTCCTTGCTAACAGATTCTTGCAACATCAAATCAGTTGCCTTTTTTTTATCATCAGCTTCTTTTTGATGAGAAATATCTTCTACCTGCTTTTCTACCGAGCTTGCTGCTTCTTCCATGGTATCATCACTGAGGTAATCCAGATCATAACCCCACTCATTTATGCTACTGTGCAGGAAGTCATCCGAACTACTGTCAACTGCTGCTGGAACATCATCTTGTTTATACTCCTGAGTTGTTTCTACAGCATAGGCTTGAGTATCTTGCCAAGCTGAAAACATCTCAGTATCTGTTTCAAACTCAAAGTACTGAGAATCACAGTCATCCAGTGACAAGGGAGGCCTTGGAGATTCTGATTCCATTTTGGTATCTCTATCAGAAACGCTGTTGGAAGTCGAAGGCAGCTTTGCAGGACACACATTTTCATTCTTGGTTTTTGTTTCCTCCTTGTCATCTGCACCTTTTTCTTCATCAGACGAGTCTGAAATTATAATGACTTGATTGCAAGGGCAATCTGCATCACAGAGAGGTCTGGTACCTTGGCCTTCATTGGAAGATCTTACAGCACCTTTCACTTTCCTCCTAATGTCACTTAGATTATGGTACACTGAGCTTTCCTGGCTTGACTCCAAGGGAAAATTGACACTTTTGGCATAAGCAGCTAAAGATAATTTACTGAGTTCTCTATCAACCTGGGAGTCTGATAAAGTATCATCTTCAGAAACCCTCGTCACAAAATCCTCTTTTTTCCCCTCTGAAGTGTTTTCCCTCTTGAAATATTCAGAAAACTCCAACAACCTGTCACTTGATTCACGCTTCACTGACAGTGGCCTGATCTGAGGAGCAGGGTTGGACACATCCCCCTTGTTTTCAGACCTAGATGGAAAACAGCCATTTGCTGAAAATTTATTCGTACAAGAGGCATTTGAAATTTGATGTTTACAGTTGTATTTAGCCAGGTCATTTGAATTAGGCTGTTCCCAGTCTGAAGTTGGCATGTCCGTGTTATTCTTAGACACGGCCTTCAACAATGAACCTGATTTTTCTTCTGTTGATACTTTTTTCAGCGAGGTGTCATTAATCCCTAAAAGCAAAGTACTGTTATCTTCCTTCTCTTGCATACTGGGTCCATTTTTAGGGCAGTTAGAGCAATCTAAGGACGTTTCTGTTGATCCCTGTTTAGGGGGGACCACTCTGGATTGTAACACACTGTTTACACTTGTCTCCTGCACACTTTTGCCATTCCTTGAAGATGAAGAACCAAGATGAGTTTGAGCAGACAGATACTCTGCTGTTGAGGGTCCTGCTTCCTCTTTGACTTCCAACTCTCTGCCTCTTCTGAAATCTGAACGCTGCGCATTTGACTTACAGCCCTGACTATCTGTATTGCATTTCCCTGCCACAAGGTCATCATTCCTATTTTCCTGAACTTTCCTACACAGTTTTGCTGCCAAAGAGATAAATTCCTGAGCTGCCAAGTCATCGGGTTCCTTTTTAATATCCGTCAAGACGCCTTCTGTGGCTGTCCGAGATGTTGAACTTTTAGGTGCATCTCTAGATTCCTCTTCCCAGGGATTTTTTCTTCTAGGGAAAAGGTTCCCTTGACAATCTCCACTTTCCTTTGATATGACAAATGGAGAATAAAGGTCACCTCTCTCGTGTGCACTCGTCCTGAATCCATTATCACCCACATTCTTCTCCTGCTTTAGAGAAACAGTTGGCAAAGCTGTAGAGTTTGAATTGGTCCCTCCTGCCACAGAGGCACTCAACGCTCTGCCCTTTATACTCCTTATGACTTGCTTTAAGCAAGTTTGTAATTCCTGGGTCTCCTGGATGTTCAGCTGCCAACCCATGGAGAGATTTCCTCGCAGGAGGAGGTTGAGTTTGTCCAGGTACCTCTTGCAGAGGGCCTGCTGCCCAATCTGGTAGCCCTCCTTGAGAAGGCTCCGTATGAGCTGCACGCAGGCGTGCTGCACCGAGTTGGAGGCTTGGAAAGATCCTGCGGAAGAGCCTTTCCCACAGGGCCCGGGGGTTTTGTCCATGTGCCACGTAAACACTCTGGCTGGAAGAGTGGCACATCTCACCACTGCTTCCACCCACTCCTGGGAGCTGATCCACAGCAAATGCAGGCATTTTTTATTTCTGTGGAGTTCAACGATGCACACCAAGATGAGGAGGAAAAACTCGGAGATTTTGTCACACTGCTGGAGCTTTTCAATGAGAATATCTTTGATTTCCGAGCACAGGTAGTGGATGACCTCTACTATGTAGGCCACACCCAACTCCTTGAGATCCATGAGCGACTGAACAAAAGGGATGAACCAGAGGAAGGTGCTGGGATGGACACGCATGGCTTTGCCAATGTCGGACTGAAGCACATTAGCCAGTGTTTGCATATCTTCATACATTTTGGGGCAGTACTCTGGACAGATGGCAGCCTTCCAGCCAGAGTCCTGGAAAACAAAGCCACCACACATCACCCTCACTGATATGCACATCTGCACAGCTTAATAGGGCAGCTTCTTTTTCTAGCCATAAGTTACTTTCTTTCAAATGTATGTTCGCTAAATGTTAACACCTCTTATATCCCAACATAAAGCAAAATTTAAACTTAAAAAACGCAAAAAAATAAAGACCAAACACATGTATAAGGAACTATTTTCCTAAAATGTAACCTATAAAGTCAGCATGAAGTAGTAGTTCCTTTAAAAATCATTGTGAACTCCCCAAAGACACGGTTATGCTGACATAATTTAACCTCAGATAATCAAATACACATTTAAAGCCTTTAAAAGGCATTCCATAAATACAACACATCAACATCAAGACAAGCACATTCACAAATGTTTAATCTGCTTTGTAACAAGAAAAAGTGGTGCCATTTTGGAGCACTGCCTAACATTTGAAAGTACAGCAAACCATCTCATTACTCCAAAATCAATATATTAGTTCAGAATACTCAGAAACAAAAAGTAAAATACAACAACACGATCAGCTCCTTTTTTTTTAAATTGAGTTCGGCGTTTTCATTGAGATAACAATATTTCAGCCTTGACATGAATTTTAGGGCTTTAATGCCTCTCTGCCTAGGTCAAATATGTTCTTCTTTCCTCCTACACCCCGAAAGTACCAGCTAAGCAAGAAGTGACCAGAGTGGCTGCTATTTAACACAACAGTGACATACTCTGTTTCTATTAGAAGTGTTAAAAAGAAAAAATATCAAATAATGTCTCCCCACTTCCGTATTCTACAGATGGTTTTAAACTGATAATGTCACTCAGTGACCCCAGTTCAAAGAATGGGAAAATAAAATACTGGTTTAATACCTTTTGAGGCTTTTCTGTGTTGTAATTATACACAATCTGACTGCAAGTAATCATGTCATCACCGTAGTCTGACTCTGGTTCAGATTTTGTCCTAAAAAGAAACACAGAAAAAAATCCTAACAAGTGTAACAGGCACCAGAGTTACCAAAAAGTAGTGAGCACTTATTGAAAGAACCTCACAATTTTAGGGGACCTACTTCAACTTTTCACTGTTTGAAGTTGGAAACTTCTTTTACTTGCCATTTCCCTCCCCCCCAACACAAGTTACAGCAGCACTGACAAGAAATTCAAGATCAAGTCCTCCTCTAACCAGGTATTGAAGTCATACAACTGTTTTATTCTCTTAACAACACTGACCTCACAAAGCTATTGCGGATATTTTTAATTTCATTTTTGTAGCTCTCACTGTTGATAATGGTTTGAAAGGCTTGGACAGGATCAATAAGTTGACCCCAAACTTTAGATCCCAGCTGATCCAAAATAACCATGAAACAATGCAGGGCAGGCCAGAAGGGGTCAGCAGAATCATCTGAAATACAACAGCAACAGTGGGGACAGTTGAAATGCAAGTCCTGGACATTCTCAGACTCAGCTGAAAACGAAAGTAGTTGGTTTTCACTGGTTTTTCTTAAATATCAATACAAAAAGAAGTGTTCTGGTAAATTGCAACTATACCTTTTAATCTGGAAAAAGTTGAGCTCACCTGTATAGAGACACTGCTCCTTAGGCAGCCTTAAATCAACAAGAACCTGGATGCCCATTGCTAATATTAAATAATACAAATATTTCTCAACTCTACGAAAGGGATTCTTTCACACTGATTTTTGCTGGGCTGTGCTAAGAAGTGGCACAACTTACACAGCTGTGACAATTTATACCTCACATTTATACCAGAAGCAATTGGTTTTCCTTCAGGTGCATTCCTCCTCCTCCATATAAGATAATATATCCTTAATAAACACACTAAGTTTATAGAGATTTCGTAATTTAAGAGGCAGTCCTGCTCTTGAGCTCCTGTGCCACTCCAGAACTCTGTCATTTTTCAGCATTTGTCAGCACTGCCCAAATATTGTGCACCTTCCAGAAGATACATAAGCCTCAGTTAAAATCATCATTACACTACTAAGAACTTATCAAAAACTTTCTTGTTTGATAAAGAAGAAAAATAGGCTGTGAACTGTCTTTATCTGAGTATCAAAATTAGTTACCAGCTGCTTCTTTCTCCATAGTGTGAAGTATGGACTGCATGAAATCATTCTGTTTGTCTGGGCCCAGTAGCAAAGAGTCCATAGCTTGTTCTTCCAGCACTGACAGCAACATGCAAATCCCTAAAGAAAGGGGAAAAGGAAGCAACCTGTCTGCATATTTGCAAGAATTTGTTCAAATTTTCCCCAAATCCAGGATCATTTTCCAAATGCCATTACCAGTGAAACACTTGAGAAAATACATGAGCAGCAATATGAAACTAATTAAAAACAACCTCACTACTGCAGGTGTGCAACATTCAATTTTCCACTTGACAAAGGACCTATGAAATTCTAGAGCTCTGACCTGAAAGAAGTGCTTACAAATGTGAGAGATTCCACAAATTCACTTCTGATCACAAATACTCACCCAGCCAATAGTTCTTGTAGTTGGTTGTATCATACAAATGAGCTGGCAGAAGGATGAGTTTACCCTTTTCATACATTGAAGAGCTGTAAATATCTGGATTCTCAAAAAGCCCCAGCTCAATAACTTTGAACAAACAAGTCAGCACTTCCTCTAAGTCATAGTAATCATCCCTGTCAACCTTCCCTAAATTCCTTGCTGTCAGGATGGCCCATCGGCGAATCTAAGGATTGAAATAAAAAGTCATGTATTAATAAAAACAAATAAAAATCACAATTCTGTAAGATTATCATCACTACTGCAAATGGGACAAAGGCATATTTTTACTAATAGAATAATTAAAGATAAGTCTTTCTCCAAAATAATCTTAAAACCAGGCTCACTATACAGCACTCAGTATTAACACAGTGCATGAAACCAGGATTCACTGGAATTCAGCAGAAGAGAAAAAGGAACTTACCACCTCATTGGGGTGCACCAAAAAGAGATAAATCCCTGGGTATTTTTCAAAGACCTGAAAGGCATCGTGGCCGAGTTCCAACCTACAGAGGACTTCTACACACAGCTCACCTAAAAGGGTAAGATACAGTTACAGTAAGGACTAATCTACAGGCTCACAAAAAAATAAACTATTTAGTGTCAAAATAAACAGAGAAGATGTATATATACACATACACACTGATATTCTGGCTTAACTACTATTTGTTATTTGCACCCTCTTCATTAGAAACAATACCATTCCCTCCGAGGGTGTATGATCAGATACTTACTGACTCTCTCATGCAGCAGCAGATATGGATATTTCAGTATTTCTAGAAGGGGCACTCGCAGGTTATTCTCAAAATCAGGGCCCACATAACCAGACAGCCGAGTCTCTCCATTCTCATCCACTAGAAACAACTCATCGTCTTCCCCCGTTTCTTCCTGCATGGATTTCTCCATGTGGGCAACGAGACGGGCGGTTTCCAAGTCCCACAGGTCCTATTCAGTGGGGAAAAACAACTAATCAAAGTGCATTTGTGAAGAAAGTCATTCAGGACATTTATTAACACACGTAGACACCTTAATTGAACCTCCAAAATTTAAGACTTCATTTTGAAAAGCTTCTCTCTCAGCGTGGCGCAGAACACTAAAGCTTTGGCACGGAATTGAATTGGGCAAACCACAAAACTCTCACTTCAGGTTATCATTTTTAAAAGAGTAGCCTTCAAACCAGAAGCAATTTTATAATTCTGCTAAATATTCGTATTTCAATGATTATTTCAGGCCACTGGCCAATATACAGAATATACATAAGGACATGGTACAGAAAAATATCATATTTAGGAAGATGGGAAAAACATTTTTATCACATTGCCTTTTCATGGATTTTGCAATTAATAGAAGGAAAAGAACATAAATAATGCAAACAGACCAACTGACTTGCTGGATATTTGTAGGGATTTGCTCACTTAACACTACTCATCTTAAGTAACTGCTCCAAACCTCAATTAGAAACCAAGTTTATTCCCTGCAGTTAATGGACACAGAAAGGAACTTTCTGTAGTTCAGACACTCCACTTATTTCCAGTCAGATGGGACTGCACTCCAGAGAAATCTTGCTGACTAATCTAAAGAACAATGTTTTGGACACCTGTATTACGATCAGTTAGCTACAAATATGCACTTCACATACACAGACACAAAAGGGAAAAAACAAGCTTTCCAAAAATATAAAATTGGGTACTAGTGAGGGAGAATTACAAAATACTTCTAATAAAAAATTAAGAGGTTTCAAACTTTTCTGATTGTTTTTAATGGCACGGTCTCACAGACTTGCAAGGTCTGGCCTCTGAAATTCAAACATAGTAGAAAACTACAAGTGAGAAGTGAAAGCAAACAAAAAAAGGAAAGGAAAATAAACATTGCAGACATGTTGGTCTCGCAGATGTTCTTGGTTTCACATGACAAAGCACCACAGCATGAATAAAGTCCAAGCTATACTGTCTAGTCAGCAACTTCTCACTACTGTTTTAGTTCTTGCTGATTTGAATATATGCAAAACAAGAGGGTCTTCACTTAACAATCAGCTGTTTACAGCTCCACGTAAAAAGGGCACAGTTAAAAATCAACACACCCTATTCCCAAAAACCAATAAAACACAACCCCGGCGTAAAACTCCCCCTACGCTGAGGCTGGAACACAGAAGCCTCTTAATTAATCCCTTAATTACCTTATGCAACCTTGGACATTCTTCCCTTGCCTTGTGGTATTCAACCACACACTCCAGGCAGTAAGAGAGATCATCATTGGATCCCTCAAACTCTTCCTGGGACAGCTGTTCAGTGGCATAGTGCTTCAGGAACTCGGTGGTGTCAGGACCACTCGGGGTGCACCATCGGCATGTGCTCATTCTGGGGGTGGGAAAAACAAGGAATTAACTTCCAAGGACTGGAAGTGGCAAAATGTTTCCTTGCAGCCACAACAGCACCTAATTTTCAAGGTGTGACGAGCTTCAGGATTTCTGTGGCTGGTTAGCAGAGTAGATGCAGGTGTTCTTCTATATATATATTCAGGTGCAGGCAGTTAAACAGATTAAAGCATTAAAGGAACATCACAGAGAAATGCCTGGGGAATGGCAAACAGTAAGTGCAGAGCACCAAAGAGAAGTCAAATTTGCAAACTATGAGATAATGAGTGAAAATTCACTGTACATACAAAAAAAATCTCCTCACCCACAAATAACACAGTTTCCAGAACTACAATGCTAAAGGTCTTTATATTATTTTACAGGTGACTGTGGAATCTAGGTCTAGTGGTACAGAATTTAATTAGCTTTTTTCCTTAATCTCCTGCTAAAATTTATAGGTCAACAAATCCCTGTTGTCATAAGCAGAGGATATTTAGGCAGAACTTTGCTGTCTTCATTACTGTTAGAGTTACAAAGTGTGACAGGATTCTCACCACAGATTGCTTCCTTCTAAAAACAGAAGTTCTTCACTAAGCAGCAGCAGAATCATCTCAGACCCTGCTGGTCTGAAAAATTCAGCAGAACACTGGAATCACAGAATGGTTTGGGTTGGAAGGGACCTTAAAAGACCATCTCATTTCACCTTCTGCCATGGGCAGGGACACTTTCTACTATCCCAGGATGCTCCAAGCCCTGTCCAACCTGGCCTTCCCAGGGATTGGCAGCCACAGCTTCTCTGGGCAACCTGTGCCAGGGCCTCACCACCCTGAGAGGGAAGAATTTCTTCCTCATATCTAATCTAACCCTGCCCTCTGTCAGTGTGAACCCATTCCCCCTTGTCCTATCACTACAGTTCCTGATGGAGAGTCCCTCTCCAGCTTCATTGTAGGCCCCTTCAGATACTGGAAGGCTGAAAAAGCACAAACACTTGAACTAACTGTATAAAAAGGAAGATGGTAACTGCCTCCCTTATTAAGCATAAGAAAGAAAGCTGGATAAAGCCAAACCATGGTCCTCAAACATACATACACCTTGGGAAAACCCCAACAATTACCTCTGCAGCCTTTACCTTTGGAAAGGGAAGCTCTTTGCTGTGCCGGTGTGCCAGTCACATGGTGGGAAGGAGAGTAGCACTGCCCTGCAGGCAGGAGAGGTGGCTAAGCCCTTCAGCCATCCATGCCCTGAGTGCAGCACAGCAGAGCAGTGTCCTCAGCAATCCATCCCCTGGCGACCGAGTCTCAGTGGTATTTCAAGGATCTACAGCAGCAAAACAGAAATCAAACCACTGAATTACAGAATCAATTAGAAAAGACCTCTGAGATCTTTGGCAATCACTACCTTATCAACCAGACCAGAGCACCGAGTACCACCTCCAGCTGGTTCGTGAACACCTCCAAGGATGGCGACTCCACCACCTCCCTGGGCAGCCCCTTCTAACATTCAGAAACACTTTCTGTGAACAAATTCTTCCTGATATCCAACCCGAACACCCTCTGGCACAGCTGGAGGCTGTGTCCTCCCCTGTCGCTCACTGTAGGGGAGAACAGGCCCACCTCCACCTTGCTCCAACCTCCTTGCAGGCAGTAAATCGCCACAAATCAGAACTGCTTTGGCATTTAGAACAACGCGGGTTCTACTGAATGCATTCCGTGAAGCGATAAGAACGATCTGCAAATGAATCCCTTCCGTCCTTCCAGGGCGGGTAAGACAACACACGCTTTGCCGAGAAAAGGCGTAAATATTTATCTGTGCACGTTAATCAAGGAAACTGCTCTAACGGACACGCACGAACGCGGGCTGCGAGCAGCACCTTCCCCGGTAACGCCGCTACCGACCTGCACCGGCTGAGGAGCCCCGGCCCCCGCGCACCGACCGCCCGAGCCCCGACAGCACTTTCGGTTTCGCGGTTGGAGCAACCCCAACCCCAAATCCAACCCCAACCCCGCCTCCAACCCCCGCAGCGCCCCGTGCGCCCCCCACCAGCTGCCCCCGGGGCCCGCCGCCCCTTCCCGCCAAGCGGGGCCGGCCCGGCGCGGCGCTGAGGCGGCGTGAGGGACCCGGGCCGAGGGCGCGCCGGGGCAGCGCGGGCGGCAGCCGGGCACATGCACGGGCTGCACCGCAACACCGGGCGGGCGGTCCCGGTCCCGCTCCGCTCCGCTCCCCCCCTCATCTCACCCCGGTCCCGTCCCGGCGGTGCCGCCGTGAGGCCGCCGCGCCCCCCGCGTTTCCGGGCGCAGTCGGAAGCGGGCGCTCGCCTCGTCCCGCGGGAGGGGCCTTAAAGGGCCAGCGGGGCCGGGGAGGGGCGGGCAGGGGGAAAGGGGGACGTGAACGGCGCTGGAGCTCTCCAGGGTAGAATTAAATAAGTGCTGGAATAATAAAATCCCACCCCAAACGCACGGCCGGCTCCAGCTGCCTGCAGTGATGACCCTGGGGGCGCGGGGGTTTCTGGTGCGATGGAAGCCGCTCGTGGATACCCCTCGTGCCTCTTCGTGCGCATCCCACATCAGGCAGGAAAAGGGCTGGTCCCTGCTCAGGCCTGGCTCCTCCTGGGGCTGGGGGATGAAGCCACTGAGCTCCAGGGGCGCCTCTGACCCTCCGGGTCACAGGGGTGACACCACCCCACAGCCTGGGGGGCTCTGAGACAGCAAACAGGGATCACCCTCCTTTCAGGGATCACCCTCCTTCCATGAACTCCTTGGGGATGGGCCTGTGCAGGACTTGGACTCGATGATCCTTGTGGGTCCCTTCCGACTCAGCGTATTCTGTGATTCTTGTCTGGATTTAAAGAAACTCAACACCGGAGTTGATCAATGTTGAGCAGCATTCCTTTTTATTGACAGCGGTGGAGAAGCAATGGGGATAGTTCTCCATAAACGCCTCCAAGGAAATTACAAAAGCAAAAAAAGCATTATATTTTCTAAGGTCTTTACACATTCATGTTAAATCTCGCCTTTCAATGCCTCCTCACTATATAAATCTTTGCTTTCTAGTCCATAAAAATCCTTTGTATGATGTAGCTTTTTTGTCTTGGATGAATTACTTCCCAACCTTGAATGTCAAACGCTGATTGGTTACTTGTCCATTTGAAGAGATACATCCTATTTACTTGCAAAAGTTATGGTTTTTTTCCCAGTTGCAAAAACTATATCCATTATCTAAAAGTTAGAAAATTCTCAGCAAGTTAACCAAAAATGCAAGGTTCTTAATCCATTAGAAGTATACATAACTTTGGCTTAAAATAATTCTACATTAGTTCTTTATTAACTGTTTTCTACTTAAGTGTTAGTTTATTAAAATCTTAAAAATTAAAACTTTAAAGAAAAAGTTATCCACACTAGTAAATCCAGGCTTAATTGGGAATATACAGGATTCAGCAGCTTTTCAGTATACAATATTTGACAGCTCTCTTTCAGACTCGATGGTCTTTGTGGGTCCCTCCCAACTCAGCATATTCCGTGATGATTGTGTGATCCTTGTTTAAGACCTTACAGGTGCAGGGGGTGAAAAAAGGCAAGTCCCTGTTTGATCTGCAGCTGCTGCCACCATAACGCTCCTCAGCTTTGAAGTGTGTCTCTGCTGCAAACACAACCCTTGGAACTCATCTGTCTCTGCCTTTGATAACACCACTCAGGCCATGAACACGTCAGGAAAATGCTTGAAGAGACACATCTGCTTGAAACACCCAAGTTTTTAGGTGCTTTTTCAAGTGCTTTCTACACTAGAAGGATCTGTCATGCTCTTATTTATAATGCAGCCTGATACACAAAGCTTTGTCAATGTTATTTCCCTCAGCCTTCTGTGAAGTCTGTTTGGTTGGTTTTTTTAAACCTCTGCAGAGTTGGCTGTTAGCAATAATATTTAAATATCCACGTGAAACAACTGCCTTCCTATGCCTGTGTTCCCATAGGCCTGGGTAAGAGGATGGCAAAGGGAAAAGCTGCTTCCTCGTGCCATTATTCAGCACCTGGGAAACAATCAACAACTCCTCTCCTCCTGCAAACACTTGCAAATGGATTACACCCACTTTATCCAAGGATGCAGGTAAGGAGTTTTCTTACTCCACTCCCAGGGACAGACACTCTCTTTTCTCAGGTGTTTTCCCAAAGCAGCCAGTGCAGTGATGGCTTCAAATTTATAGTACCTGCCCTGACTTACATGTTGCAGAAAAACTGCTTTTAACAAAGATCAGGAAGTCTTCTTTTAGGAGTTTCTGTGATGATGCAACAGGCCTGGTGCCCTGCAGTGATGCTGTGAGCCGGAATGCTCCTGGCTCATGGCCAAGGGAGTGAAAGTGCCTCAGAAAAATATTTTGGAAGGTGGTTTTGAAGCCCAAACATGCAAGATAATGAAAGTAGAGAATGAGATAGCAGAGCTAAAACAAAGACAGCTGTGTTGTCTATACTACTGACTAACTGACAGCTATCTCACCCTAATGAGACTGAATGGCAGCAGGACTGCAGGGTGGGTGGGTGACTCCCCTGGAGCAGGGAAACCTCTCAAGGTTTGAGATTCCTTTTCTGAGATCCTTCGTTGCCCAGAGATGAGAGATCCCTTACTCTGAGAGATCCTTGGTGACACCCACGGGATTAGTACTAAAGAAACATTATTAATCCATGGGGTTACTCAGTATTAATTATAAATTTTACATATATAAACCACTGACCATGTGTGGGACTAAGCCTGGATCCAGCTGCACCGAGTCCTCTCTGAGACCCCCTCAAAGGGGTCCACTCTGAACCTCATGACTCAACAGGAGGGTCTTTCTTACCCTTTGTGTCTCCAGACTCTTTGTGAATAATTCTACCTTGATTCTAACTCAATTTTCCTTTGTATGTCTCTTCCATGCAGTAATTAATAAGGTGAACTTTGCCATCAAACTTACTGAATCTTGATAAACCACTGGTAAACTTGGAATTCCACTGAAGTTACCTCAGTAAAACATATTGCTGCTTCTCTGTTTTGAGTGAGGTGCATTCCACTCATCCACAACAGTTTTCCTTTAAAGCAAATAATAAAATAAATCTCATTATGGAGGTAGAAGTTTATTTCTGTGAGATCTACTCTACAAACTCTACAGTGAGACAATTGTTTGTGCTCCAGCACAAAACTGGACACAATTCAGAGATCTCCATATTCTAGGAAAAAAAACTCCTTGAAAAACACAAACTGTTTGGATGTAAAAGTCCAAGTTTTTCAGCTTTTCACCTTCAAACCCATAAAGCAAGAGAAGAACTGGTGTGTGTTTTCTTCCCCTCTGCCCCACTTCATGTCTTGGCTGGAAAACTTACCCTTGTACCTGTCCCACAAAAATCCCACTATCTTGAGAGAGACTAAAGCCAGACACAGTTAAATATGGCAAGTTCTCCTTTAAAATCCTTTGCTACAAGTCACATTCCAGACCCTCCAACAAGGCCTTTATTTCAAGCCATTGAAAGTTCTGGATTTTCAATAACCATTATTAAAGAACTTATCAAAATGACCCTCGAAAAGCAGAAAATAATGCAAGAAGACTCAGGCTCTAAAACAGTGTATGGGAAATATAAACAAGCCATACAAACACTTTACACAGTAAGAGATTTTGGGGGGTTGTTTTTTTCACAGTCAGTCAGTCAATTTATAAATAATCACTCTGGGCAGAGAGATAAAAATATCATACAAAGCCATGAGTAAAACCTCCATCTTATTGCTCATTTTTCTTATTAAAATGTAGAAATTATCCTTGACACAATAAAAGTGTAAATATATATACATGTGCATACACAGTCTGTTTTGTCTCTATATTCCAAATATTAACAAAAACATTTCAAATGCACTGTTTTGGTTTTAGCATGAAATGACATTACAATTATGAACAGAAATGGACAAATATCCTTTTTCTCTAGGAGGGTTGAGAAAAGTGTAAGTCTACATCAAAAATAAAATTAGGTGCTTTTAAGAACAAGATATACCTGTCGATATACAACACAGATGTCTTAAGGATTGGTTATTACAGAGATTTAAAACCAAATTGAAAGCCTTTTTCCAATTTCATGAATTTTAAATAAAAAAAAAAGTTCTGAAAACCAAGTTTATTCATAAAGGGAAAAGAGCAGTTCTCAACTTCACAGAAAACAAAGCAGTGGAAAAATCATATCTTGAGACATTTAAAAAGCAATGAAGGTTTCTAAAACCAGAGCTAAATGAAAGTAATAAAAAGTAGCACAAAAGCTCTGTTGAACTCAGTCTTCAATATGAAAGAAGAATATCAGACGTGCCCATCTTGACTTTTCCCATCACTCCACAGCCTGTGTACCTGCAGTTGTTGAGCTGCACCCACTCTCAACCAGATCCATTTGCAGTCAAAAATGCAAATTAGGAGTTGCTTTTAGGCCAGTCCATTAATCACTCTCTTCACTGGAGTCAAAAATGACACTGAATCGGAAAGCCTTTTTCTCCTGACTGGCTGATAAATCACCAGAACTAAGGTGCTGTTTTCTTAACTTTTCTTCTAATTCTGGGAGCTTGTATTGAAACAGAAAATCAACAATTTCTAGGGGGAAAAAAAAAAAGTAGTTTTAATTGGATCTATAAGGGAACAGGATCTCACAGACAGAAATAACATTGTGTTAAATGCACAAAATGTCTGTACTGTTCTGATCACAGTGGCTGCAGGGACACCACTACATACAAACATGCAAAGATAAATTAAAATGCACAGTCATAAAACTTTTAAAGGCAAGGTATTAAAAAGAAGAGGTTCACATGCACTGCACAAAGATGACATTGAAAGTTATTAAAAAAAAATTCAGTAAATTAAGTATAAAGCCCAAGATTTTAGCCAATTAGGGGAAAGCTACAC